GTTAGTGGGCTGGGGCAGTGTCCAATTTAGAGGTCTGATTCAGTGCTCATTGAAAATCCTACGCCCTAAGCCTAAGCCTTAAACCCTAAGCCCTACGTGGTCCATCCGTCAACCCAGTAGAGTGCATAGAATCCTGACTTGCAGAAATCCCAGATAAGAGTTTCCGAAAATCAGGACGCCGAAGCTATACAAAAATACTGTACATATGCAGACCCACAAGAAGTGGAGTCCTCGTTGCACATACACCCAAATCCTGAACACTAGCTGCCCATGCATACTGAACCCTAGCCAAAGCCTAAACCCTAAACCCTAAACCCTGAAGGAAAGCTCCTCCTTAGGCATGTCAGACTCCTTCTTCGGACTTGACCAGCAGCTGGACCTTTCCATTACAACTGTGGAGCCTCACGGTGAAGCCTGACAGGTGAGCTGAAGGCTTCGTAAGGGTTCTGAACAAAGAATTCCAAATCCTGACCAACATTTTCCTGAGGTTTCCTTATTTTATTTGCTTTTTTAGCTTTTATATGCCCCAAACATTTATTCTAGTGCATGCGCCCCTGTACTAACAGACTTCTGAGGGTTCTTGGAGGTTCCACTTGTAGCCTTTGGGCCTCCAGGCTGCAACTGTGGAGGGCATACGGTTGATGATAGAAAACCCCTGCAGTACCCATAATAAGGAATATACCATAATTCCCATAGTTTAGGGTCCTTAGGGTGATGCAAGATTTAAATCATCAACCATATTGAAGAATGACATGGCTGATCTTAAAACACTCACCCTTACCCTCGAAGGACTCATATTTTAAGGCTTTCGGGCCCAAAGACCCCATTAAATAAGGCTTTTGGGCTATTGTCATGCCAAGGGTTAGAAAAACCCTTATGCGGATGTCTCGATCAAACTGCATGGTTTCTGCGTGAGATTTATCCGAAACCCGAAACAAGAAACCCGGAGCCCTAAACAGGACCACCCAGCTCTCTCATCTCTGAAGATCATCTTGTTCCAGTGTTGAACAAAAGTGTTGTGTCCGAGGGGACATTAGGGTATAGGGTTTCCCGAACCCCCCAGGTACCTACTATATAGGGTACTAGAGCCCCTAGGGCCCCCTTTTTTAGTAGGTACCGAGGGGTTTGGGGTTTTGTTCCTGCTCTCTTCAAGTCGCTGTGATTTACATGCCGTTCCGGCGCGATGAATAGAAGCCCTAGGCCCTGCACCACTAGACGCCTAAACGGTTTAGGGTTTTCGGGTATATAGGGTTTAGGGTTTAGGGTTTTCGGGTCTAGGGTTTGGGGTTACCCTAAAACCTGAACCCTAAACGCAAACACCACGCCGAATTCGAGCGGATCTTGGCAAACTCCGCACCGTATTCGAGCGGATCTTGGCTACAGCTCATCTGTCTCATGGAGTTTTCAGGCGGGAAGTCCGCCGCGGCCCTGACGTCTGTATACCCGCCCCGCCGGGGTTACTATACAAGCCTTAATAATTGCGACACACATTCCTTAGGGTTCCGTACTATTGTAATTCTATTTTTAAGAAGCCCAAAACCCCATTCTACTTATTAAGGCCCCTACATTAGGGCTTAGGGAGTGCGAGTGCAGTTTAGGGTTTAGGGTTCAGGGGTACACAGTCTGATCTGGTGCCTGATTGTACAGTCTTTGCCGTACATGGGAAAGAGCGCACGTCTCTGTGGGCGTTTGGTGACAGGCCCCATTTAGACCCTGTCGTCTGATACCTGCAACCCTAGAGCCTGTTCTTAGTGGCTGAGTAGGCAACCTTTAACCTTTTGGGGGGTTTATATAATCAGTGTCGATATCTCACTATAGATGCAGATAAAGATCTTGTTTATTTGTACAGCTACTATACTTACAAAAGTTTTCAATATATCTGCACGTGCCTTAAGGTCGAAGGGTGTGTATAGATCCAGGATGATAGGATCTCGAAACCCTACAAGGCAAGACCAGACCTGTAGATGGTGTGCAACCCTAAACCCTAAACCCTAAACCCTAAACCCTAAACCCTAAACTTTCAATCTGGAGTCTTCATGTTGTTGCACCACGGGAATGTAGTCTTAACTGGTTTACGAAGTGCTGACATGATAGTTCTTCTATTGGTTCTATTGACTAACTAGAGCCACTTCATAAACATGATTGTTCTTGGTCTCTGTTAGTCGTCATCCTTTAAGCCTGAAGGGTGTGATAGGGTTCTACTAGGTCTTTGTGTCGGTTTGACTATAGTGGTGATACAGGCATGGACCTATCTGTCCGCATATGGGCTTCATGGAGCTTAGTATGGGCTTCTATAGGGTCTCCTGGGGTTTATTGGGTCCTTGTGGGTTTTGTAGGGTCCGTAAACCTATATGTACATCAACCTGGGCCTATAAGAAGGGGTTCCCCTGTTAGAGCTTTTGTGCAGATACTGATTTGTATAGTACGTACATGGAGCCTTTGGGATTTAGTAGGTACGCATCCGCTCGCCTTCTCTGCAAGCGTGACAGCTACGTAGTTGTCGCGGTCAACACACGCACTTCAGCCTAACTCCGAGTAGCAGCTACGCATTTGTAGTTGCAGAAAGTTTGACCTATGGTCTATAATGATGAGCTGGCTGATGAACAGATTAGTAGCGACTCATGTGCCCCAACACAGCAACTTTCAACATCGGTGCGTCGACAATTATTAACAGATGAGAAGCTGTCATCACGGCATGGTCATGTTCCAAGCCGCAACTACTTCCTAGCAAACGAAAGAGAACAATCTACATTGCCCAGTTTTTAGCGCAGTCTTGCAACAGGCCATCCCAGAAACTCCAATATACCTAATGGATCTTACCTCAAAGAGCAAGGAAACTATTCTTAGCTAGGGAGCTTCGGGCGTAGAGTTTAGGGTTTGAAATTTTAAGGGTTTAGGGATATAGGATTTCGGGTTTGGGAGCATCGTACTACAGTGCAGTAGGACACTGTCAGCTCAAGTAAGGGCTTCGGAGGGAGTCGTTGGGCCTAGAAAAACTGCCTTGCGCCACTCTCGCCTGTGCTGTGCAGCCATGTCGGAGGCGTGATGGGGGCCTTGGGCTAAAGTCAGAGGGTTGAGATGTCCTTTGGGAACAGTCAAGCGACACACATTGCAGCTGCATGCGGCGCTTCTGCTTCAAGACCTGCTCGTGGTTAACACCTACATGTGGATATCGGTTCAGGTTTAGGGTTTAAGGTTTAGGGGTTCGGGTTTCGGTTCGACAGTGGTGTAACACTGATGCCGCCAAAGTCTATTAGAGTGTCCGGACGAAGAGATGCCCCTAAACCCTAAGCCCTAAACCCTAAACCCTAAAGTCGAAGCACCAAACCTGTCTTGCCCGACGGCGTAAGCCTTTTCAATTTTTAGGCTGCTGCACATCTTCGGTGCTCTTTGTATTACCCATAACACTATAGGTCCCCTAAATCCTAAGCGGGCCTAAAACCCTAAGCCTTATAAACCCTAAATCCTAAACCCTAAACCCCTAAACCCTGAACCCTGAACCCTGAACCCTAAAACCTAAACCCTAAAACCTAAACCCCTAAACCCTAAACCCCTAAACCCTAATCCCTATATCCCTACAAGCCCTAAACCCTAAATGCTGAATTCTGTCCCGAGCCAGGCACATTGGTTCAAGTTTTCGCCGGCTCCCAAGAGCTTTCTCCAGTCTAACGGTAGAGGGTCCTAACCACCTGGGTTTTGGGTTTTAGGGTTTAGGGTTTTAGGGTTTCGGGGTTTTGGGGTTTTAGGGTTTTAGGGTTTTAGGGTTTAGGGTTTAGGGTTCAGGGTTTTGGGGTTTTGGGGTTTAGGGTTGAGGGTTTTAGGGTTTAGGGCTTTAGGGTTTTAAGGTTTAGGGTTACCTATAAT